TATCTTTTTCCAATATGAGACTATACGATACAGAACACGGCGACATGACCTGACATGACAGGACTCGGCACAACACTACACGACATGATACAATACAACCGCACAAAGGGTTTATTTTTTTATTAGCACACATATAAGAATACATCAAAACAGGATTAACAAAAACATAAAAGGTGTGTCAGGAGAGGTCAAGAGGCCAACAGGCTTAAACAAGGGACCTCACCTCTTAAGAGACAAATAAATCAACTGAGCTAATCAAATTACACAATTTCAAAATTAAATATAAACACATATACAGTAACCTATACACGTATTCATACACACACACTTAGACACATACATACAATAGAAAGACTGAACATTTTAACCCTCTATCAGCTAAATGAAACAGGCATTAATCTATTAAGAAGGGAGTGAATGAGTGAGTTGATGGAAAAAAAAGATATATATTTTATATATACATATACAATACGATATGAAATGAAATGATATGATACGACCAAACAAAGCTCTCCAGTGGTCTTCAGGCCAAACTAAAATAACCCAACCCAGCAGTCTAGACGTGCATGGCTAAGGAAACAAATATCTGGAGAGAAACAGCACGCAACACTATATGATACAATAACAGTTGTTCCCAAACTTCCCCCTTTGGCAGAAGAAAATATTTTCCACCCCCATCCCTCACCGTGCAAAAGAACACAAAAAAATATGTATTACTATACACTAATCACACTGCCAGTCACGCTGTTTACTGACAAATTCCTAAGATTGATTCAAAACGTTGTCAAACCGTTCAGAATAGCGACTTCAGTGTGTGTGAAAAAATGAGACTTCAACTTCATCGCCCCCGAGTGGAAATTTGTTTTGCAGCCAGGTGAAAACAATAAACATATAGAAACGCAGGCACATATAGACTCAGACAGCAAATGACGTGTACAACATTAAAAACAGAAGCACTAGAGTTCTTCAGGTTACGACAGGAAACTGAGAATGTACAAAAACCAAAATTAAACTCATCAGGGTCGTTATTGGAGTTCAGTCGTGCGATGGCCTGAGTTATAAAACTTTGATTTTGGTAATCTGTATCTCCAGAGGATGTCAGACAACCATTGTTAAAGAGGAAGCAATGCAAACATCTATCCATCCATTATCTTATAGGATCAGGGTTTACTGAACCAAACCCCTACCAAACTGTGCTGATCCATACTTTGACCTCTTGACATGTTGTGGGGATATGATAACGGGAACTCCACAGGGATACGTACTAGGACCCTTCTTGCTGTGAGGCAACATCGCTAACCCATGCACCAGCATGCTCACCGTGTTCTGGACTTGCATGTTGATCAATTGCTTTACTTGGTTGGTTGCTTGGTCTGTTTGGTTAATTTCTGTTTCTGTGTTTCTGTGCAAATGTTGAGTGAAGATCAAACATCTTAAAGGACTCAAATCCCCAATTTGTAAAAATAAAATAATTGCAGGTTGGCAGTAGTGAGTTTATTTAATCCAGTTTGATCTTCACAGTATGTCAGTGGCATTACCTGATGTTTATTGACGTGTATATTTTGGATCATAGCAGGAATTCATACTTGCCGTTTTGCAGATTGTTTTTTCATTCTTCTCATTGTTTAGCATTTTACATGATTCGATTTCTGCTTTAGTCTTAACATTATTTTTGGCTGGCTGCCCCTCGGCAAGCTCCTGTGAGCACATCACATACACAACGTTTTTTCCCCCATTTGCATGTGCATTCAAACAAACTCAGAATACAAAACACATGCAGCAGGTGTCAGCTCCTCCAGCCCCGCACACACTCAGGGCGTGAATTCAAAGTAGCTGTGAAGCCAGGAGAGGCGTGTGACGAGAGGAGTGGTGCAGGACGGATGAATGAGCGGTATGTCGCCCGGGCTGTCGGTGTAGTTTGAGCAGATAAGCTAGCCTCCTTCTGTTGTCTTTGTTCTTTTTCCAACCCCCTTTTCTAACTGTCAGTGACACGGGTATCCTCTCTGTCACATTGCCTTTAAACCTCTCGAGTCTTTGGTTTGGTGTTTAAAGAGCTAGTTTAAGAAACAAATACAAACCAAACAAGAGGAAACAGTAAGGTTGTCAAAAGTTCTGATACGATACCATATTCGTTGTGTTGTGCCAATACAACCCGATAAGTATGGTACCAAGTGGTAACATAATGTATCATATCTTGTCTTATCGAGGTGATGTGGCACAAAACAAAAAAAGACAAGATTACGATTTGGAACCATACTTTTTTTTTTTTTTTTTGGGGGATTTTTGTAACTTTATTTGAGAGATAGGACAGTGGATAGAGTTGGAAATCAGAGAGAGAGGGGATGACATGCGGAAAGGAGCCACAGGAGTGATGTTTGATGTTTTTATATGTTATATTTGTTACCTACCAAGGGACTGCAGATGTAAATGAGCCTAAGGCTAACTCTGGTGCGATGCATCAAATGGTTACATTTATGTTTTAATTGCACATGGTCCCTCACAAATAAAGTTCAATTGAAATTGAATTGAAATTTGAACCTGGGCCGCCCGCTTGGAGGACTACATCCTCCATATGGGGCGCAACCCCGATTTGATACCACACTTACTGTGTTGAGTCGATACAAAATGTTAAGATACGATACGATATGCCATAATTGTTGACGCATAATTTATTTCTCGAGTTGGTTTGGCGGGAGTTCAAAAACAAAACTAACAAAACACAAAATCTTGCAGTTGGATATGTAAATTAGTGAGTCAACATAATAAAAGATTTCTGTATAAAACAAAAGAATATGCTTGTTTCTTGTTTCAGTATGCAACGCTCGCCACAATGTGCCACGGTCAAAAGCCAATCACCTCTACTGTGCGCCACAGCAGCTGCTAATCAGCGTCATTTAAATAAACACAAAACAACACAATGAGACACTGTACGATATGATACGATAGGAAATGATGCGATGTGATAATGGCTCTTCATCTTCACTCTTCACATCGGTTCAATCAAGATTATCCTGTCAACGATTCGGTTCAATTCGATATCTCGATGCATCTCGACGGGTTGCATCGTCCACTTTTCCAACTCAGACTGCATTGATTTAACTGTGCATGGTGACCTACTCATCACCTGGTTTTTGACTGTCGATAGTATTTAATTGTCTTTCTGTTTCACTCTACATCATTTTACGTCAGTGTTATGTTGATAGGCCGGTCTGCATATTTTTATTTTTATAGGCTTTGTTTTCTCAGCAGTGGGTGGGAGCACTTGTTGGGTAACATACCTATGTGATGTGGTTGTTTACACAGAAAACTATTATGTGATATCGCAGTATGTTCCTGAAGAAGCCTTCGCTCGTTAGAAAGAGACTGAACAGGTTCGATGAAACTGACAGAGAAAGACCACACTCGATGGTTAGAAATGACACGAGAAGTATGAAGACAAAAGGTGATAAGCCTGTCGGTCGGGTACTGCAGACCAAGTTTCCATTCGTGTAACAATAAGTCGACACCCTAGCTGGCATTTGGACGCAATTACAGGTGTGCCCTTTAAATTAATGAATAGTTTGGTTTTTTGGCAACTGTGGAGCATCAGGAAGCGGCTGTAACAAAATGTGGACGTACTGACTCCTATCCATCGCCCACGCAATATGTGTTTTAAAAAATAGCATTCCCTTTTGTCGTCATATAACAGACCACCAAGACAAATATTCACATTTTTACCTCAGATTCAGATTCAGATTCAGAGAACTTTATTAATCCCAGAAGGCAATTTAGTTCCACAACCTACCGAGTCATTAAAAGAAGCCAAGACAATATAAAGCAAACAAACTTAGTCTAGTGTTGTAGTGAAGACCACGCTAACCAAGACCAAGACACCCCGAGACCAGAGTGCTCCGAGACCGAGTCAAGTCCAAGACCAAGGCAGGGTGAGACCGAGTCAAGACCAAGACCAAGACCAAGGCAGGGTGAGACCGAGTCAAGACCAAGACCAAGACCAAGGCAGGGTGAGACCGAGTCAAGACCAAGACCAAGACCAAGGCAGGGCGAGACCGAGTCAAGACCAAGTCCAAGACCAAGGCAGGGTGAGACTGAATCAAGTCCAAGACCAAGACCAAGGCAGGGCCAGACCGAGACCATATTAATGAAAATGAATCTCAAAAATCAATTTTCAACAATGAAAAAAAACAATCAATAAAATATAGATTTCTAGGGTTTAGATTTTTAGAGAAGTGATGCTGGGTTTTTGAATGTTTCTGGGGGAAAAAAAGAAAAATGTTGACTGCATCCCAATTGCACTGTATATCTTGAACTTGTTTAATAAAAATATGTTGGAAAAAATAAAATATAGATTGTTTTTTAAAAATAAAATCCAAGCAAATTACAATGAAACAGAGGAATTCTTTAACCTAATTAAGAACAAAACAATACTTTTTTCATTTATTTGACGTTCTTTTTATATTTCTAGAAGTCATAAACTTACTGGTTTAAAAGTAAAACTGATTTATTGACTTTCTGTCGGGCTACAATCAAGTTTTACATCCGTCCTATATTTTTAAGTGTATTAATATAAACATTGTAGTACCTTAGTCTTTGGGTAGCTTGTAATGTCAAGTCGCTTTGTTTGGTCGTATCACATTATATCGTATTGTATTGTATATGTATATATAAAATATATATCTTTTTTTTCCATCAACTCACTCATTCACTCCCTTCTTAATAGATTAATGCCTGTTTCATTCAGCTGATAGAGGGTTAAAATGTTCAGTCTTTCTAAGTGTGTGTGTGTGTGTGTGTGTGTGTGTGTGTGAATACGTGTATAGGTTACTGTATATGTGTTTATATTTAATTTTGTTTTGAAATTGTGTAATTCGATCTGCTTAGTTGATTTATTTATTACATCCGTCCTATATTTTTAAGTGTATTAATATAATGCATTGTAGTACCTTACTCTTCCAGATGGGGTCGATAGTGAGCTCAGCTGCCAAGAAAGCTACCTCAAATTAAAGACGCGAAGAAGAAAATATTTCTCTTTTATGCGGATGTGTCACTTCGGCTTCATTTCTTTTTCTCACAGCGACATTTCTGCACCGTAAGACAATCCGCGTTATCTTCTAGTTCTACATTCAGCTTTTGGATTAAACATTTTTTTTCCCCCGGGGCTCGTCATGTCCGCCCGGAAAAGAAAACTCTCCGGAGAAAGCTGCGAGCAGGACGGCGCGCTGCCCGGCCACAAGCTGCCCCGGCCGGCGGGGAGGAGGCACGTCGCCGCGCTGATTCTGGCGAGAGGAGGGAGCAAAGGGATTCCTCTGAAAAACATCAAAATGTTGGCGGGAGTTCCGCTCATTGGATGGGTGCTGAGAGCCGCTGTGGACTCGGAGATGTTTGACAGGTAACATGAAACACCTGAGGGAGGGGGGAAGGGGAATACGGGTCGTGCATGGGGTCATTTTTTATAACTTTTACTGCAACTTACAACAAATTCTCTTTAAAGTCTTTAAATGTGATTTTTCTCTCTTAAATGTAGAAATCAAGTATCTGCTCTGAAAATAACTCTGTGAGTCATGACTGTCTACAATGGGTGTAACACCCGAGTCCCACTGTCTGTGATGTTTTCAGAGTCCTATCTTCAGTTTGTTTACATCGCCCGGACGGCCGGCTGACTCCTCCCCTCGTGTATAAAAGTTGTTTAATTGAGGGACTAGAGAAAAGAAGAATAACATACTGTACTCACTGCTTAACTGTGTTTCTAGATCACGCTCATTTCAGGTAAACTTACCTGCGTACGAGCAGAATAAAGACTTTAAACACCTGATTTAGACGCACCGATCCACTTTTTATCTATTTTGTGCCGATACCGATATTTTTATTACCTGATTGAGCTCACCTGTCCACTGCGGGTGACTGAGAAATACTGTTGTTATTATAAAATCTCATTTGAACAGTAAGATGTTTTATTCATGTTCAGTTTGATTATCTTAAAGGCTTTATATGTGATTTTTGATCCAGCAGGTGTCGCCCTTGAGCACCAGCATGAAACCAAAACAACTGGCGCTGCATTGTTGTGTTAGCATGCTAATGCTAGCGATCTTTATTATGCTGGTATCTTCACACTGCATGTAAATTTACCTGAAATGAGCGTGATCTAGAAACACAGTTAAGCAGTGAGTACAGTATGTTATTCTTCTTTTCTCTAGTCCCTCAATTAAACAACTTTTATACACGAGGGGAGGAGTCAGCCGGCCGTCCCGGCGATGTAAACAAAGTGAAGATAGGACTCTGAAAACTCTGAAAACATCACAGACAGTGGGACTCGGGTGTTACACCCATTGTAGACAGTCATGACTCACAGAGTTATTTTCAGAGGATATACTTGATTTCTACATTTAAGTGTGAAGAAACAGTTTATTTATACGCCCCCCTTGATGGTCAAGTCATGTAGCGCCAGATCACAACAGAAGTCATAAGTGTACCTTTCATAGAGAACAGGTCTATACCTCGCCCTTTTGTTAAACAAACTAAATAGCATCAGTTTATATCCTTGCAAATATTGACTGATATTGTAGTAACAGTAATGGTGATGACCTTCCTTTTCCTAGTGTCTGGGTGTCGACGGACCACGAGACAATCGAGAAGGTGGCGATAGCTTGGGGTGCCAAAGTGCACCGCAGGAGTCCCGAGGTCTCCAGAGACTCTTCGACATCCCTGGACACCATCCAAGAGTTTATCAGACTCTACCCAGGTACGCTCACCCTCAGCAGGACGTGAACAGAAGGTCATGTTGTATATTTTAACAACCAGGATGTCGCCGTGCTGGTGTCTGTTTGATCAGCCATAAAGACGCTGAGGGGGAGTTTTTCTTCAAACCTGACTCTGGGTTGTTGTTTTTTTTTCCTGCAGAGGTGGATATCGTCTGTAACATTCAGGCTACGTCCCCCTGTCTCCATCCGTTCCACCTGAAGGGGGCGCTGGAGCTGATCACGGAGAAGGGCTTCGACTCGGTCTTCTCCGTGGTCAGGAAGCATCATTTCCGCTGGCAGGAAGTGAAGACGGGATGTAAGTCGAAGGATGTACAACCTCGATATTAAAACCTCTCAGATTAGTTATTTGGTTGCCTACAGCTAGCAGTCAGATAAGGTTAGCTTAGCATAAAGGAATGTAAACAGCTAGCCTCATAATCCTACCACCTGGACATTTCAGATTTCACTGTACTATCAGGATGAGCAGAAGATAATGAATCAACATTAATAAACATCGACTTAAGTCTCTTTGTTAGCGTTTTAGCGCACTGTTAATAGCGTTTAGCACGAAACACTGTCGTACAGCCTGATGGCAGTTTCAAGAAGTCGGGGTCAGCCTCTTCATGTGAGGTAAAACAATCTCTTGCAGTTTATACTGAATGAACCGTTCACTTTTTTCCCCTTCCTCTTGATAGCTGGGGAGCTAACCACACCGTGCAACCTGGACCCGGCAAACCGGCCGCGGCGTCAGGACTGGGACGGAGAGCTGTGTGAGAACGGCTCGTTTTACTTCACCACCAAAGATCTCATAGTGTCGGAGGGACGACTGCAGGTACTGGAGCGGCACAATTAATCACAAGTTTTTCTTGATTTCTAATCTTTTAAATTACCTTCAATCTGTCATTGAGGGTTTAAGATAAAGCAGTGTGGATTCCGCAAAAAAAATCCCATAGGTTTTGTCCGTAGCCGATTTTATTAACAGCCATGACGTCAACAACAGAGTTACCACGAGCTACCTGGGTGTCAAACGATTGAATATTATCCTGAAGAAGACACAAATTCGTATGATATCAGCCTGTTTTTTAAGAAAAACACATTTTATTCACAATCTGGGGTGAAAAGAACTACACTACCCACAATCCTGTAGTGTCAAAGGGACGTCTCTGATTGGGGACAGTGTGAGCCAATCGAGACATGAGCTAATCAGACCAATTTCGTTTTTTAAAACACACTGTAAACATGTTCATCTCTGCTGTAAAAACAGGCTTTTTAGAATGGGTGTGTATGTGACTTCCAGTGCTTCTGCAGCCAGCCTCTAGTGGACACTTGGTGAACTGCAGGATTTTTTGCAATTCCGCTTTAGCTTCATTTTTCAACGCTGGAAATTGCCGCTTGGTTGGGTTCTTGTAGGAATCGCAATGGATTGTGGGATGTGTAGTTCCCTCACTGAAACAAACAGTCTTGAACCTCCTCAAATTGTTTTTTTTTTTGCGCTAAATCAAATGTTTTATATCCACGGGTAGCTGGTTGTCTTGGTTCCAGGATTAAAAATGTGTCAATGAAGGATTTGAATGGGTAAATTTACTCCTGGGTGGTCACTGTTGAGCTCTATATACCTCACATGACAAAACATGTGACTGATGGTGACCCTCGAATGTGCATCCACTTACTTTTTTTCATAATGGCTTTCTAGGTCGTTTTGTTTAATGGCACTCACTGCTTTGTTATCTATGTTTGTTTGCTTTGGCTCATGTTATGTCTCTCTCTCTCTCGCTCTCTCTCCAGGGCGGTAGGCTGGCGTACTTTGAGATGCTGCCAGAGTACAGCGTGGACATAGATGTGGACATCGACTGGCCTGTAGCAGAACAAAGAGTCCTCAGGTGAGATTTATTTATTTATTTTATTCACTGAAAAGCAAAAAACATGATTTTATCTGGCTTTTCCTTCTCACTATCGTCCTCCTGTTGGTCGTCAGTCTTTTAAAAATATTTGGCTGCACCGCTTAATTTTCTACTCTTTGCTGCTCGTTCTGCAAGTCGAATTTTTAACCCCAGCTCCTCCTTTAATGCTGTGTCTGACTTAATCATGCAGTCGTCATTCTTTCCTGCCCGCTTTGGGTTTTTGCTGCTTCTCTCTGCCTTAAGCGTTCCTTGTATGCTCGGGAAGGGCAGGAATGTTTTTTCTTCAGAGTCCCTTTTTTTTTTTGTCCTCTTGACTCCATGTTTCTGCCCGCAGGTACGGTTACTTCGGTCGGGACACTCCAGAGATGGTTAACCTGATGTTCTGCAATGTTTCCGGATGTTTGACAGAAGGACGGATCTTTCTGTCCGTATCCGGAGAGGAGATGGTGTCCATAAACACCAGAGACACCATGGGCATCCGCATGCTGCAGAAAGAAGACGTTGAGGTACAGACGCACCAACACCTTCAGAAAAGAATGCATGCATACAGAATAGACGCTCTAATCCGTGTTGCTCCACCAGGTGGTGCTGTTGACCTCCAGCGTGGACCCTGTGGCACATTTGCTGGCTGAAAAACTGACTGAAAGGACGGGCTGCCAGGTGATGCAGGTGGGCGAGGAGCCGCTGGATACTCTGAAGCTGTTGGTGGAGCAGAGGAAGCTGGACTGGAAGGACGTTGCGTACATGGGTAAGAAACACCTTCAAAAATACGCTGTGGGGGGGTTTGTAGGCATCTGCGACAAACCAACCCCCTGAGAAGTGCCCACCTTCTGTGATGTCTGTGTAGGGTCTAGGACACTGTTTATGCTCTAGCACATCGGCTTCATTTTCAACGCGAGAGGTGAAGCCACAGCTTGTAGTGGGTTAGCTTAGCTTAGCATCACAACAGGAATCAGATGGTCTGACTTTTCAGCATTATTTTGTTCCCGAGACTAATATTGATCGTGTTTTCATTATAGTTCATTTAAATGACAGGTTGCATTAGGGCTCGACCGATATGTCATTTTTTTTGGGCCGATACCAGAAAAAAGTGTGGTACCGATAAATCGGCCGATGTGTATATATATATATATATATATATGTGGAAGACAAGATGGTAACTCAACTGGAAAGTAACTGCACATCTACATGCATCACCACTTGACACTCTGGAGAGTGATAATGTTTGTTGTAATCCATATAGCGCCCTCTGCTGGTGAAAGAGAACTGCTAGTGTAATACAATGAAACTCAAATGAAATGCTATTTGACTGGTGAATAAATGTAGTGATATTGGCTTGATAAAGTTAGCCGATACTGTAGTCACTTGATACACTCATATCGGCTGATATTATCGGCTGGCTGATTAATCGGTTTGGCTCTACTGTATATATGTGTGTGTGTGTGTGTGTGTGTGTGTGTGTGTATGTATATATATATATATATATATATATATATATATATATATATATATATATATATATATATATATATATATTAATACAAACTTTCTTCGTTTTTCTCTCCTCTCAGGTAACGATAAGCCTGACGTGAACTGTCTGAACCTGGCAGGTTTGAGCGCAGTACCCAGGGACGCTCCAGTGGTCGCCATAAATGCTGCAAAGTACACCTGCCGAAGTGTCGGGGGAAAAGGAGCAATGCGGGAGTTTGCTGAACACATTCTCCTGCAGAAAGAAAAAGCAAGGTCGCTGATGAAGCGCGACCGCATCGACCGCAAGAACTTCTAATTTTTAACGATTTTCTTTTTTTTTAAAGGAAATCTGCGTTAAAAGCGAGTTTAGAGCTGGTGAAGTTTTATTTTGCAAGATTGATAGAATAATCAAACGGTGCAAGTGTAGATCTAAAATATTATAATTTTGAGATGCATATCAAATTTTAGAAGTAGCGATTGCAGATTTAAATAATTTCACTTGTTTACAATCAAGTCTGACAGGATTCAGGTCTTCCTGTTTGCTTCAAAGTATGAGATTTCAATGCATGCTTTGAAGTTATTTCCAAATAGAATGAATTTAGTCAAGCTGTGAATACCAAAACCGGAATGAGAAGTTAACAAACATTGAGTGATTGTAGCACTTGTGGCTTGAAGCGAATTCCTCCTTGTCAGCCAAGGTTGACCATAAATACACATAACTTTAACGTAAATGTAAACAATGCCACTAAAACATGAACCAGTGGACTGAAAACTGTCTTCTTTTCTCTTTAAAATCAAGAACAGAAGGAAAACTTAAATTGCTTATGGTACAACCCTTTATTAAAGAGCCCATATTATGCCCTTGTCGGGGTTCGTATATTTAATCTATGTACCTACTAAAGTATGTTCACAATAGCTAAAGTTTAAAAAAGTGTCTGTTTTCATGACTGCCGCTCCATGCACCGGCTCTCTTCTGACTCTCTCTCTAAGGCTCTGAAGTGCCCACGATCAGAGTCCCCACGAGTGCCAAGTCTGATCTGATTGGTCGGCCTGTCGGCTCTGGCGTAATTGGTTAGCCGCTCAGCACGGTTCTCGGAAATGTCTCGCCCCTTTTACCATATTGGGAATGCAGCCACTTCGGCTCCGAGGGGAGCATAAACATTAGCACCTTAGCACTACTGTGCTACCGCAGGCTACGGCATATCGTGGGCGTGCTACAGAAGTTAACGGGCGTGCAACATGAGCTGCTGGGCCACAACGAGCCAATGGGCTTAGATCAGTGATCTCACACTGACAAGACGTCATACTGGCAAATTTTTATTGAGGGGTGCTAGAACCGAGTGTTACATGCAGCTAATGCTACAGCTAACAGGAGGACGTAGGAGAAGCTGCGTTTATGCGGACTTTGAGTTTTTGCACATAGATGTGCCTAAACATGCACAGGACACTTGGAAAACACACTAAAGAGCAATAAAACCAGAAAGAGCATAATATGGGCCCTTTAATATATTACACCAGATATTTCCCAAAACACAGAAACAGAAAATATGCGTTACTTCCATTTTATTGTAGTTTTAGAGATGCAGTTTTTAAATTTAAATGACTTGCTATTTTATATTTTCAGCTGAAGTATTTTTTAAATCCAAGTATAATTGTGAAATATCCAGAGTGTGTGTTGACAAGTCTTCAATAATCTTCTACCCGTAAATGTCACATTTTAGCCCTTTTCATTGAGAAATTCTGCAACAGCTGATTTTGTCACGGGCTATGCTTTATGAACCTCCTGCTGACAAGACATGTTTCATGAAAGGTGGATCTACGTTTATAAAGAGTAAAATGTGAAGATCCTTTTGTCTTTCTGATTAATATGAAGCTAAATCAATAAGACAGCTAGCTAAGCTTAGCATAAAGACTGGAAACAAAGGGAAACAGCTAGCTTGTCCCTTTCTAAAAGTACCACTATCAATGTGTCTGTACCTGTGAAGTAAACCTGTGCTACATGTAGCTAAGAAAACATGCTAGCAGTAACCTATTTTTAACCCGTTTAGCCTTGTTTCCAGTCTAAATGCTACGCTAATCTAAGAAAACATACCAGCAGTACCATAAGATTACCAGTTTTTCCTTGTATTTGCTTTGTTATGCTAACGCTAGCAGTAGCCTTACATTATGAGATACACTATCAGAGACTCTAAGCTTTTTCTTTAACTTCTAATCACACCTGACGGGCAGCGTTAACTGATTTTGGGGATTTCGTGTCTGTAGTTTAGAGATTTAGACTGTGTGAGTTTGTAACTGCTGGTTTTGAAGAGATTATTGACGTGGCCTGATTGATCACTTGATAATAAGATGTTTTCAGGTGAAGAATTGGGTGGATTCACATGTTGCAGAACCGTCATTTGCACTCTTATTTATTAAGATAAATAATAAGTGGTTCAATAATTGATGTATGAGATATGGAAATGTGTTTTCTGTGTTGTTATTTTTACTGTTTATCGTGCTCATCTTGCTTACAGGTGTTTTGAATGTTTTGTTTTTTTAATTTCCACTTGTCCTTTGGCTCATTTCTGTTCTCATTTCTCTCATTTTATTTAATAATTTTGCAACATGTGTGATTTTATTATTTAAATGAATTTACAATGAAATTTGCTCTTGAAGATCAAGTCAATGTCTTGTGTTTTTACTTCACATCCTAAAATATTAGATTCCTAAATAAAGATTTTTGCGTTCCTGCATCACGATACAAACACTTAAACACGCAGTGTGTTAGTTCCGCCACCAGGGGGCTCTCAATCAAGACATTAACAAAAAAAGATAACGTTGAGGCTGGCGGGGAATAACTGTTAGAATTACTTAAGGTAATGGGAAGTGGTTTTATATTGATTTAGATATTTTGGTGTAAAATTCCTACACATTAAATCTTTAAATAATCTGGAACGGGGCCCTGCCTCCAAAGCAGTATCCACTTATATAATACATCCATGATACAGACAACATGTTAAAGAAAATATGATTGTTTTATTAAATCATTTACAATACCACATTAATAAGTCTTGGTTGTATTACTTAAATCTTCACAGTCATTCATCAACAACTGGCAACAGAGAGATTTAAGAAGGCTACCACAAGTATTTGTAAAAAAACAATAATGAAAAAAACGTTTATCTTTTTACAGAGTAATCGTAGGAAAGTTTTAAAAAAGGAATAAGAAACTAAAAAAATCACTCGGTGATCTTTTTTCATTCTGTAAGGGTTACTCGCGTAATAATCAGCGGCCCTTCGTTCTTTCCAGATTTATTCGTACAGGGGCTGAAGAATGGGAAGATGCTTTCACTGAAAGTGTCGTTGAACGTGTAGATGTGGAGTTTGGAGTCAACATTGTAGAAAGACACCTGCAGATAAACAAAGGAAATAAGTGTTATTGGAAAATAATCTTGATTGTTGGATCTCAGCGAAACGAGCTGGAAGAGAAGGATGGCCCTGATTTTAAAGAAGGTCAACGCATGGAGAAAAGGTGTTCCTATACCTGTCCTTTCTCGTAGTCCACAAATACCCCGATCTTCTGTGGTTGCAGGTTCATTTGGACGTCTGTGGAGGGTTCAGTGCGGAAGGCGTACTTACTCCTGAGGAGACAAATGAGGGGGAAACGATAAAGTAGACAAGATAGTTAATTATCAAAATCGGCAGCAAAAAGGACCTAGTCCTACACTAAGAATTTTAATGTAATGTAAATATCTGCCGTATTACAACATGTTGGTATTATACGGTATGTTACACTTAAATATTGAGCGGAAAATCAACATCCTTAAATTAATTTAACTCAAGACTTTTTTGAAAAAAAAAATATATATATGAATCATTTGAGTCATATTAACAACAAAGAAACAGATGAAAGGGAGGATGCTGACAATTTTAAAGCTGTATTATGTGACTTTTTGGCCACTAGGGGGCATCAGAATTAAACTGTAAAGAGAACAAGAACATAGTGGCCCCATCGATGGTGATGGCTGTTTACATATCCAGCCATAACAAAGCTACAAAAGCCTTTAATACTTCAGTTAACTGTTTATTAATGTAGCTCTGTTTTTGGTCTCCACCACCCCCCAAATAAAATATTTGATGCCGTAGAGTTTAATGCAAATTTTTTTTGGTATTGCTGTTTGGCGCGAATATGTTACTTTCTATGCTGACAAGTGATGACTAAACTAACTTGTCTCTCAGGCTGAGGAACCAGTATCCGTTGCTTGGGGTGACTTCAACCTTCCCCTTCCTGTTGATCGATTGTTTGGCCACTCCTAGATCCCAGTCCGTCTTCCCGCCGACCTCCACCTGCAGATTTATTGGAACACAATCGGCTTTGGGGATGATGTACATGTGATTATTTTTGCATTACTCTGTTTTAATAATACATTCATAAAGGAGGGTCTCTTACCTCCCAGTAGTGTCTCCCAGAGGAGATCATCGGCCTCCCCAGCACGCAGACGACTCTGTCAAACCTCTCCGGGTTATCTGGAAGCAGCTGGTGTCGATCTCCACACCTCACCTGCAGACACAGTTTGACAACCAAAATTAAACTTTTGCATATCGTAGTTTATAAATGCTTTCAGATATCACTCTGAAAATTGTATGGTATAAAAAATTAATAGGTGTCTCACACTCTTCATGTCCCCCGACAGAATCAGTCTGGGATGAGCAGTGTTATCGTCCATGGTCACGTCCACTGTGTTGAGGAAAGAAGGGAATGTGAAGAACAATGTATTTTTCGATCTGAATTTATGCCCATTATGAGACTGCGTATTAGCTCCATTTTAGGTAGAAAACGTTTGGGAAGGGAGACATTCTTTAAATTAAAGTCATGATTTTGCAGTTTGATTTATTTTCCCTGTAAAACACTTTGTGGAACATCATTGTATGAAATGTGCTATACACATAAAATTTGATTGATTGATTTAAATTATAGTCTTATATTTGTGAACAAGAAACAACATATTTACTAAGATTCTTGGAAATGTACAACATGGAAACATTATAACAGAGGTATTCAAGTTTTTTTGCACCAAATTTACCAATTTACTCCAATAGAACATCCAAGTTTTTTAAATCTAAAATTCACAACTTTTGGGGGGGAACTTTTTGGAAGTATTGTTAATTTAATTAAATCTTTGAGATTGTAACATACCTGCATACTCCTGAATCCTTCTTACCCCTGCAGAAAAACAGTGTTGTTAAAACCAAGACAAAATGTTCAAACTTACAAATGCAATGCATAGATTTGTATTTTTACCCTTTTGTACACGTTTAACTGGTGTGGGCAGGATGGAGTCACAGAGTTACAGATATAATTTATTGGATTATGTTCATGATCTACATATTTTAGATAAATTGGTAATGGAAACTCACTGGGCTGTGTGCGAACTGAACTGGGTTCCAGGACTGGGGCTGGAAAACCTGGAGTGAAACAAGGAGACATGTATCAGGAACTTAAAGTTATTTAGACACAAGAAAGTTCATGAAATCAAAATTCTTGATGATGTCATTTTCTCAGTTAGTTAAAAGAAATACCAAAAACATCTATTATCTTAATTGAGACAATTAAGATTTACCTTGTATGCATTACAATTTAGACATACTACCGTCATTCACCACAAGAGGGCAGTATTGGAATACTTTGTCACATATCTAGTGAAGTGTACTAAAGGAGTATTGTTACTCTTACAAAACCATAAATCATCAGAGTTTGGTTTATACATCTGCTCTTTTGACTCTAGATGTGAATGACTTTCCCCAACCATCACAGACTCAATGGTGCTTCAAGTAAAACATGTTATTCTTTGTACCTGTCTTCTTGTCTTCAAGTCTGGTGTTCAGCATTTCACTGACCTGTTTCTGCAGCCTTCTTCAGCTCTTTCAGGAAACTCTCCACCTGAGCTGCCAGAGATCTATAAATGGTTCCGGTTCCTAAGTCAGTGTTCACTGAAACCTCAGACCAGTCTTTGGTAGGTGGAGGATCCGAGAGGACCGGGAATGCCTGGAAAGAAAGGATGTCGAATGATCAAGAACTCAACTGTGGTCATGATTCCGAACAATACTCGTTGGAATATCATTCAAATGAGAATCGTTAGATTGGCACAAACCTTAACACCCTGTAAGGCATCATCTAACTGGGCGAGCTCAGCGAGGGCTTTTTCTCTGCTTCGCAGTTCTTTCACCTCCAGCTCCAGCTGTCGTATCATAACCTCGGCCTGGTGCTCAGCGGCCCTCCGGCTCAACTCCATCACCTCCATCAGCTCCGCCTGGGAGCGCTGGATGGTGGACACGAGCAAAGAAAAAAGGCAGACACTGCCCGTTGTGTCTCCTTCAACTGCCAACTGTGGGATTTACATGTTATTTGTAAGTTAGGCCTTTCAAGAAACCTTTTGTTATTCTGACCATTTCATTTATGTTTCCATTTCAAGATTGAAATTTGACGGCAGGAGGACCAACTGATTTTGGCATAAAAACAAGAGTGAGTTTGTCCTACCTCCACTTCAGCCACTGACTTTTTGAGCCCCTCGATCTTCTTGATTCTCTGTCTGATCATATGCCGGATCTCCTGCTCCGACACACTTAGCTGAGCCTACACAAAAAACACAAAAGTATTATTAGTTTTGCTTGAAAAAGCTATGTTGTTTTGGGGGGATAAACAATAAATTGTGTTTTTGGTTCTCAAATTATCTTCTCACACTCTTAAGGTAATAAATATAATTCCTTATACCTTGGAAAATTCGGAGAACTTTGAAAATCTAGATGAACTGCCTGTCTAAAGCCCTGAGTATACTTGCCTTTAACTACGCAAACACATGACATCAGTCTTGGGTATTCTGCGGTGGTTTGGAGCTATGAGCTGTTTTTAGGCTCTGTGAAATCCAAGACAATTACTGACTGTATACTGTAACTTGAAGGATGTTATCCCTATTTATTAGAGGCGATTGGTCCAGACTATGTTGCCTCCATATTGAATTTACTGTCTAGCTAGGATTTCCAAACATGAGGAACCTTTTGCTTTTACATTTCTTAGGTGATTGTTCTTCCTTTTAAAACCATTGTTCTGTTGTTGAAACGAAAAAAAACACACAAGTAAATTCCTCAAATCTGGATGACTCACTTTAAGTATGATTTTGTCTCTCTGTCCTGTTTTCATACCTTGGTTTCTAGCCATTCATCTTCTACAGTCACTGTGTCGTGATCCTGATGTTCCTCAGTCTCACAATTAGGACAGATACACACTCCGTCAGTCCTACAGTAGATCTGGTATCAGTGAGAGAGTGTGTTATAGTTCCAGACATCTTGCCATGAAAATATTAACGACCACAGGCTGAGAAGAAAAACAAGTCATAAACTTCTAGGTTCTCAATAAATTGTAATAATGACAGGTTATATCCTAATCAAAACCTGAAAGGTTCAATGACAGGAATTTGTTTATAATTCTAAAGAAGTGATGTACCATTATTCCTCTGTGATGGATCTCGCAGATAGGAATACTTTCACCGCTCGCAGCCCCTGTCACCGTGAACCTTCTCCGGCCGCTTGAGCGACCGTAACATGGAGGTGGGGGAGGGGGTCCAGACGGGGGGTTTGGTACTGGGCTGGGGTTTGGTACTGAAGTAGCCATCAAGGTTAAGTCAGCTGAAACATATCAAAGACGATGACATCTCAAAGGTTTTGATGATAGAGTCAGACAGATTAGCAATAGCATTAGATGTCATGGGTGCAGTCTTCCAAAATCACCTTTGGGCTCATTAATCCGTTTCGCAGGCAATTTTGGCAGAGGTCGAGGCAGCTTCTTCTTTAATCCATGAAAGAGAAAGTTTTCTGGTATTTCACCGTCACCTCCTCGACACCTTTTCTCCCTTCCCATTCCTCCACCTCCTTTCATGGATTTGAACTGCTCAGTGATCTCTCGCAGAGTCCTGTTGATCTGGAGGTCAGGCCGCTTCTGGAAAGTCTTCTTACACAGTGGACACTGGCAAACCTGAAAACGGAACGATGGTTGGAGTAGTGATAGAAATAAAAAAGGATAGACAAAATTGGTCACAAAATGTAATCCATAGATTTAAGAACATGGACACAAACTTGACTTCCTTCTTTGAAGAACTTTCTTTCAACTAAGACCTCAATCTTTTTCTAAATCTTGCGAAGTGGTTTGTTGCCTAAACTCACAGGGATATCAACAGAGTTTTCCTTGGTAGAACTTAACTTTCTGGCAAAAGATTAAAATTCTGCTGGGGACATCATTTGTGCCACCACCATGTTTTGCAGTTGTGCCAACTGGCAAAAACAAAAGGACATCGCGTCAATTTACCCCAACCCAAAGAAAGTCTTGGTACAAACTAAAGAAATAAAGGGGATTGAAAGGACATATTGGAAAAGGAAGGAATGAACCAAGTTATACCCAAGTCCAACATTCATGTAATGACTCATGTAGCCTACACACCTTAGAGCCATCCCAGTATCTGCTGATGCATGCCATGCAGAAGCTGTGGCCGCATGGTGTGGATGAAGGATTAACGAATACATCAAGGCAGATGGAGCACTGGAACTGCTCATCGGACAGAAAGCTGCCATGTAAGGACATCCTGTGGAAAGCAAAAAGTTAATGCACTATTGAACCGAGCCCCACCAATCTTCAGAACAACAACAACGACTGGTTTGAGTGACGGTATAGACCAGCAGGGTATCTCTTTTAGCTTCTTGTCAGAGTTCTCAGCTGAGCAGAATAATCCTGTCCACAGTAAGTCTTTGTGCTACAGTATTCACCCTTGCTGTAAAACAGAAGCAAGTTAAACATTTTACATGGTATGTTTCTCAATGTCTAGATGTTCTTATACAGATGCATTTTATGAGGTTCAATCATGGAGAATTGAGATGTACAGTATACACAAACAAACACTTGGCCAACTCATTAAAGCTGTCCTTTCTACAAGGCAGAGTAGTAGGCAGTTTTGATAGATGCATGTGGATGGATGGGATTGCTGAATTGGGGATAAAAAGTTGAAAGTGAAGTAAAGTAATTTGAGAGGTGAGTCAAAAAGGGATTGACCAATGAGAAAACACGTACACATTATATAATTATCACAAATCACCCCCTGCCGCAATCAATCAGATGAGAATGATCCAAAAACTTTAAGGAATGAAGTCGGGCAAGATTCTGGCCTGCACCATCAGAAACTTTACAAACCAACTTACACCTGCGTTCTTTAATGTTATTGAGACAAAGTCCTTTTTTTACAGGTTACATATGAGCTGATTCTGAATTTTTTGGTGCAAGTTATTTGATAAGGCTAAGTCATAAAAATCTAATCAGGTGTAAAAACATGACTATCCCAAAGCCCAAATCTTCAGATGTGATAACATTACAATACAAGTAAACCTTGAGCGTCTTAATTTTCAAAATGCCAGTCTTAACTTAAAAAGTCAACTGGCCTGAAAACATGCTCTTGTACGTTGTAGAGGTACAACAGTAAGCTCCAAAAAAGTGTTATTTTACTATGGATCACTCCAAACTTGCCTAAATTATTCTGAAAGATTACGAAATGCAGTTTTGAGTATCTTTACTCTAAAGGAAACTAGTTTGCAAAGAGAAAACAACCATATTCTTATGAGATTTCATTTAATTTATTATACAGGAAAGTTTAAAAGTAACATTAAGTTACAGCTTAACGGGCCTGACTCAGTTTAAAAAACTGGTTTGCAGCAGGTTCCTGTTCTGCAGAACATGAACCATAAACCACAGTCATGACACATCAGGACAAACACATATACAGGACGTTAGCATGGGCTAGGCAGATACAGAAAATAGAAACAAACACATTACCTAGCTTAGAACTAGTTTGCAAAGAGAAAACAACCATATTCTTATGAGATTACGTTCCCTTTTCAACATAAGACACCTGTTGCAAATCTAAATGTTTGAGTTCAGTTTACCATTGAGCATGAAAAAAAAAGAGGATGAGAGACGTTACCTTTTCTGTTGGTGGGTCTGAATTTAAAATGTGTCCACTAATCTCCAGAGCTGTCAGTCTATGTTGTGTCCTGATCTGAAGAGTTGTCTCTAAAGAGGTGTGTCCGCTCCTCTGGTTAAATGGTATAAATGTGTGTGAGGGTTGTGATTTTCCTTCACAGGGAAGAAGGAAGGGTACACCACACCCACTCGCTCTGTTTGTCAGGTAAATGTGGCAGGACTGGTTAAGTTGAGTGAATGATGCACACAAATACACACACACACAGAAACTCAAAGTATGTTAAATAGACATGATCTTAATCCTCAACCCTTGTTTCCTTGTTTGCATTTATTTCCCCTAAAAGAGGGTCAAACGGTCTTGGTCGGACAAAAACGTTTTTGAAGAATTGCTATACAGAAAAATTTAACAAGATTATACGACATAATAATACAAATTCATGTAGGTAGAAGTTTCTTCTTGAAATTATGCGGCCAAGTATAAAGCTAAATATATAAATATAAACATTCAATTTGAAATGAATCATTACAGTCTGAAGCCAACAAAAACCCCAATGACCTGCTTAAAGTGAAGATGTTGCAAAATAGAGAAATTCCTATTCCGATGAAGATATCCTAAGAGGCTACGTGACTGAGTCCGACTGATGGCATGAAAAATAAAATAAGCTCATCTTATCGTCTTTGTCTTCTTTTCAGTTGATGTAGAACAGTGAGAATTGTGCCTTTTGCCACTTTCATGCACCTCACCGTGTGTGTTATTGTTTGTGTTTGTTTATTTTCTAGATATGTCTGTGTGTTTAGACAAGGACATCTTTGTCATGTTTGTCATTCCTTTCGACTAATGATGTGCTTCTTCAGTGAGAGATAAACAGAAGAAGCTCAAGCATGTACCAAAAACAAAATGTGTCCTCATGCTCAAACAAAAGAAAAGGTCATAAGTCAATGATTTCAAAAATATCTTCGACTAATCGCCAGTCAATCACAGGGCTTACATCTAGAGACAGACAACAAACAACACTCACATTCACACCTACGGGCAATTTAGAGTCACCAGTTAACCTAACGAGCATGTCTTTGGACTCTGGGAGGAAGTCGGGGTACCCGGAGAGAACCCACGCATGCACGGGGAGAACATGCAAACTCCACACAGAGAGGCTCCGGTCCCAGAGATCTGAACAAGAAACCTCCTCGCTGTGAGGCAACAGTGTTAACCTCTGTGCAGCCCTTGATTACATGTTGTATGGCAGTAAATCACATACATGTAGCATCTGTAGTCTTGAGTGTATTTCAATTTGTGTTGTTTCACAGTCAGAGCTCTTGCAGTGAAGAAATAATATTTAACTGACGCACATTTTTAAATAATAATAATGAAGTTTATTTATATAGCGCTTTTTGCAGACAACGGTCACAAAGTGCTTTACATCAACAAACAACAACAACAGCATACATACAATGAAAGAAGAAATAAAGAAAAAATTAGTATGTCATGGACGACATTATAAAATCCTACTGTAACCAGGAACAATTGGCACAATAAAACATAGATGAGTAGGTACACTGGGTGGATCTGATGACCCATTGGCCTGTCTAAACATTAACGTTTTTAAATGACTCAACAGAGTCAGAAAGCTGTAGCGAGACGGGTAGAGAATTCCAGAGGATTACTGCTATGGACTGAAACACACGATCCCCATGAGTCTCAAAATGTGTCAGTGGGACAGACAGCAGGTGTAGGGTGTTTGACCTTAGTGAGTGCATACTGGTGAATGAGTTCTGACAGATAATCTGGGGCCTGACCGTGAATGGCTCTGAAGGTGAGAATGAGAATTTTAAACTTAATCCTATATTAATCCACAGGGAGCCAGTGGAGTGTGTTCAGTATCGGAGTGATGTGAGACTGTTTGTTTGACCCAGTGAGTAATCGAGCAGCAGCATTCTGGATCGACTGGAGACAGTTTAGGGCGGACGTGCTACGTGAGGGGAAATGCCAGGACTAAACCTGTTTCTCCAGTCCAGAGGGAGGCATAAAGCTCCTCGACTTACTAAAAGTCTCCTGTAAATTGTTTATTTAATGCATCGTACAGCACTTTGGTCGGCTGTTGCTGTTTTTAAATAAATGTGACTTGACTTGATAGTGGCTTGAATAACTCTGAGTTATTGGGAAATGAAAATCAAATAATGGAAAACAAAACTGACTAAACAAATCCATGTGTTTCAAGTAGCTGGCTGTCTCAAAATATTTTAATTTTTATCAATTTTATAAAATATTTTGATAATTTACTTGCAGAAGTATTTTATGTTGAGATATCTTTTATATATCCTGATATGGGAATACCTTCAGAGGCAAGATAGAGAGAGTCTTATTAATCACCCAAAGGGAGTTACATGCCCCAGCTAAATGAATGGGAATGATATGAATTCACAGGACAAAAGAGACTTTAAGAACGGAAATAATGTGTATTAATATTTTCAGATAATTATTTAATTATTCATGAAAATACTATAGTGATATTTATCAGATGCGATGATAGCAGCCAAAAATCAATTAATAACTTAGTATTGTTATCCATAACAAGTACATAGCTATTTAAGATTTATTGGTGTACAGACAGGTTCAGAAGTGGGTTTGTGTGTCACTGCCTTTTGTTTTTTGGTACTTAAAGTCAACACGTGCCAGGATGACATGCAGTGAACTAGTTAACTTCTAACCAAAAGACTGTCACGATAATGAGCTGTGAACTTGTTTATTCAAGGGTAACCCTAACCCCTATAACCTGAGGGCTCTGTGTCTCGCTTCACATACAGTTATTTTCTATCACTGCAATGCTGCTTAAGGCAAAATGTGACAGTATCAAGTAATGGATGGTCTCTTTTAGTTCCCGTGCGTTTAAACAAGAGCAGACTGAATCTCGTTAAAAAAAAAATGCTTTTAGAACAAGCTTAGTCTAGAGACTGAACCCATTTTTGTATGAACAAATACAACTGAAACAAGTAGCATTGTGAATTAGTTTCACGTCTACTGTTATAAGAGGTAAAGCATTCTAGATTTAGATCATATTTAACAGTATGGAAGTCTATGCATTCATCTTTTTATCTGTCTTCACATACACCATTAGTGGTACAAAATCCACCCCCCTACTAGGTGTTCTCAGATGGAAGTAACTTTAAGTTCCAAGAATAATTGAAGTGCTATGGAGTCCTCATAAGAAAATGTTTGTTGGTACACCACAAAATTAAAATACCACAAATGCAGAAAAAATGGACATAAGAAAGAATTGATTCGATATAAAATGAAACAGTTTTGATCTTGGTGTCAGTTCATTTTAATCATACAGTTAAAAAAAAGGACTCCGACAAAATTGTGGTTGGTCCAATTTTGATAAGTTAAAGACAGGGTTGGTCATTTAAAAAACTAGCATGATTTTGAAAGTTGCATTCCCTCAGTGCTCTGTCTGCACCCACCCCATCCTCTCTGTGCTCCCTCAAAAGCCACGCCCCCTCACTTACCTGTATGCACAAGCGCCGTTGGTCCAGAAGCGGACCTCAGCTCATGCTTTGAGTGTGGGCTTGTGCATTAATGAGGTAAAGAACGAGCAGGCAGGCGTGATTGGTTCGTCAGTTTGGTACCTCGTGGCAGACATTGGTCGAAGTTTTTACAGGCTTACAACTGATACAGATGATGGATCTTCTTTGTTCCCTTTTCAGAGCACATGAGTTATTAATTTCTGTCAGGACCTAAAGACAATTTCAACCAAAATCTTAAAAAGTGTATCTGGAGGAAAATGACCAACCCTGCCTTTAAGTTCAAAAACTACTTGACTAAGGATGGATTTATAATGTCTGCACATTCATTCCATCAGGGCCTTCTTTTTCTTCTTCATAGTGTTCTTCTGGATCTCACTTGTAACGTTGTTTGCACTGCTTGCTCTCTTCATCTGGTACATTACGTTAGCTGCTTCATCAGAAAGAGTCTGCGGGGTAAGAAAAAAATCAATGTAACAGAGAATTTATTTTTATTAATTTATTTACTCCATTTTCTAAGAACTCTAAATCAAGTAGAAGATAACCTGAGATTCTGTTGTGATGTCATCACAGATGACTGTCATGGTGTCCATCCAGTTGCTGTAGATATTCTCCTCCTGTTCGATTGGCCTCTGCTTACTATAGTACAGGAAAAGGAAGTTTATGTTCCAATGTTAAATTTATGCACAAATGCACAAACTCAAACAAAAAGACTGGGTCATGGTCCCCATAACGCGGCAAAAACTGTCTGGGTCCCCAGATCGTTATGTAAATGGGAATGTGTGTGTGAAGTAGGATCAGCAGCCAGAGGGAGTTCTGATTTCAGTGTGTCATACCTGATCTGATTGATCAAGACTTGATGTGCTTTAAGTTGCCTCTGTGCTTCCTGCACTCGGCCATCCATGGTTAGTCTGGCACAGAGTTGAGCACAATGGACACCAAGCACTGCAGTGTTGAGGTTACCAGCCTGGATCCGACTTTAAATTGAACGAGAATGTCGTCAAAATATGTGAACATGACTGAAAATCTAAATACTTTGACGTGAACTGCAACAATTTTTCTATCAATTCAGTATTCATGTTTATTGTCTTTACCTAAAAGTAGTAACCGGTCGCTGCTCTGTGATGATGCGAGTGACTTGTTGTTGATCTCTGGTCTTGAAGCTCAGCTGGACTTGGAATGGAAGAGTGCTCTTCTGTAGAAAAACTGTTATACACATCATATCTTAACAAAAAAAAAATGTTATTTTAAACACTTCTCACATTGTGGGAAGTGGCAACATTTATTCAGATTAGACATTAAAAGTCTTACCCTCCATTAACTCTGGTTTTACAGCAAACTGAATGGTGATCTCTAGTCCCTTAGTCACATTCCCTATATCTCTCACTACTTTGTGATTGTTTTCATCCTCATATGGAAAGTACCTACAGAGGGTAGAGAGTGAATACACTTATAAATCACACTGAGCTTTTTATTTTTAGCAATACATGCAAATATAGGCAATATACATATACAAACAAAGTAAAGGGTTTTAAATATCTTGGCCCATTTTAAATAAGTATTATATGAATCTTAGTTTTACGATGTGGATTATCTTGATGTCTTTGTTCTTGTCATTGGTAGGTAGACATAAAAAAACAAATTTAAAATGTCTTGTTAGTTTTTTTCTGACTGTCAGACATGACTTACATCCCATCAGGAGCGAGTAGGGTTGCCATGACTCCTGTTACAACAACATTGTCATTCGAGGCTGACTGGATCTCAGTTGCAACAGTACCGACGCTCACCATATTCACCTGCTCAGGATATGAAACAGGGGTTTACAAAGTTAGTGTTACTAGCCATGTTTATTGATTAATACCATTTACATACAGACTTTAATGCTTCTATCACACACAATTCATATTTTTTAATACATCTCACTAGGCTATGCTGTCAATGTAGAGTAAAATACATTGATTAATGTAAGAGATGAGCAGTCTCAGAGAAGTTTGACTTAATTTCATAACTGGACTTTAGGAATCCCATCCCCCGACACCTTTCAGATGGTCACAACTTTGGACTTTATCTGACCATTTTCCCTCTGAAAAAAGTCAACTACAAATTGTTACTTGAACCTATGTTTGGCAAAAAAAAAAAACAAGCGCAACACCATAAATATTTTAAAGGAGATACTTGTTGCTATCCCCACAAAGTCTTCACTTTTTTAGAGAAGCCATGCTTTTCAATCTGCCTATAGTGTGTTTGTTAAGATATTTGTATTCTGAAAAGGTTGAACAAAAAAACAAGGTCATTTATTTTCTATAAACCAACTCGATATCCCAATGACCCTGGATAACTCACATGCATTTCAACTGCATTTAATATGGTTTTCAGTGCTACTGTAGTAATGGCCCATACAACAATATGTGAGTCTCACCCTTCCTCCAGTAGTGTCTGCAAGTCTCCCAATGTCAGCCAAGCGACAATCTGTACCTTCAAAAGTCATCACTGATATAATGACTCTTGAAGAGAAAAAAGGAGCATCTTTAACAATGTTTGACGTCTTGATTTCATACGACTTTACCTGAACATCTATCAGTCTATCTAAGCATACCACTGTGAGTACATGTATGTGCGTCCTCACCCACTACCAGCAGCCTGTAGAGACAGTTTTCTGTAAAAATATGAATGAATGGAAGAGGAGGACAGGGAGGGCGATTGCTCCATTTCACCCAGTCCAATGTTGGCTTTGCCGTCAGTACACAAAATCACCTGCAAAACAGAAAACACTCGTGGGAAAAGTTTGACTGATTATATCTAATTTGTTTTAATGGCACTAAATCTATAGTGTACAAATGTTGCCTGAAAACCTTGGTAAAAGGACTCCAAAAAGTAACCTTTTAAATTTAAAGAATAATAGATTTGTCTCAATCTTCACCTTAACTCTTGACAGAAAAACTAATTTTCCAAAATGTAAAACAGTTGATTCCTTTTTATTCACTTACACACCTTTGATCCAGGGTATCTTGATGCCATAGCCACCGAGGCTAACACGGCAGGGCCAAGACACGTAGCCCCATTTTCGCTGAGGCTGTGTGCAGAAATGTATATTAAAACAAAGTTTGAACTTCTTAAACATAGAGGTTTTAGGGTGTAAGAAACATTCATTCTGCCATTTTTGCTCCACACAGAAAACAAACACTCTCATTGGTCTCTTACTCCTTGACTCTCTGCATGAGTTGGTCGTAGGTCTCAGCAATACAATGCGGGATGCTATAAGCCACACTCTGTTGCCATATATGGTCGTAGTCAACCAATGCCCAATCATTGAGAGCGAGAGGAGTGCTAGTACCATCACCGTATATTACAACCTGTAAGAGAACAATGGGTTAGAAGAAGTAAGGGTCATTGGTAACCTATAAGAGCTCTAATTGGAAAAGCTTACCTATAGTCATTTTAAGATATTTTTCACAAAACAATAACTATTTACACCTGATGCATTTCACTGCGAGCATATGATCCAAATGTATATTTTAGAAAAGGAGATTAAGAAGGAAATAAAAACACCAAACACAGGGATGGATTGTTCATGAAGAAGTATTTGACTAGTCTAGTGTCTTCATATTTATAAAAACACACTTCCCTGCATGGAAGGATGGCCAAACAAATTACTTCATTTTTAAAATTCATGAAATGACTTCTCCTACATCATCGTTGAACGTGACCAGGGCCACTCTCCTGTGGGGGGACTGCTGCAGCAGGGATGTTAGAGCCCGCTGGAGGGCATCTTGCATGCTCTGCAGGGGGAAAACAGCCAGCAAGGTACAAACTTTAATACCATCTCATTAATACATTTTATCCAACTTCATTTCCCACATAATGAGTCAATTTTGTGTGTTTTCTTGAGATTTCAACTTATTTATCTCGTTATCCTGGGATAACATCAATGGTTAACGTGTGGTTAACACTTAATCTTAGCAAGAAAACCAGCATTGTTATTCCTAAGTGAGAGAGGACAGAGAAGGTAAAGCCAGAGTAAAAAAACCTGATTAGGATAGATATCAAGATTTTGAGAAAACACAAAAGATTTACTCTCTATCGCAGGATTATGTAGTAAATAAAATGCATGGATGTACGTTTGCTTAGGAATTTAGTAAATGTCCAAAATTTATAGAAGAATGTGTAAAAAGATGTTCCCTTCAACATCTTACCTGTAGTCTGGATATGTGTGCTGTTCCACTGCTTGTTGTAACCTATAGTGGAGCAAACATTTTAGGAAAATAAAACAACATAAAATATGTATTTACTTAACTTTAAAGTCTTTATATGTGATTTTTCACACTTAAATATAATATAAATCAAGTATATCCTCTGAAAATAACTCTGTGAGTCATGACTGTCTACAATGGGTGTAACACCCGAGTCCCACTGTCTGTGATGTTTTCAGAGTTTTCAGAGTCCTATCTTCACTTTGTTCACATTGCCAGGACGGCCGGCTGACTCCTCCCCTCATGTATAAAAGTTGTTTAATTGAGGGACTAGAGAAAAGAAGAATAACATACTGTACTCACTGCTTAACTGTGTTTCTAGATCACGCTCATTTCAGGTAAATTTACATGCAGTGTGAAGATACCAGCATAATAAAGATCGCTAGCATTAGCATGCTAACACAACAATGCAGCGCGAGTTGTTTTGGTTTCATGCTGGTGCTCAAGGGCGACATCTGCTGGATCAAAAAATCGCGTATAAAGCCTTTAAGTGGTTTTGAAAGTCCACTATTATGCATTTTCTATTGCCTGTTTTGATAAAAAAAAATAGGTAGATCGAAGTTTTAACATTTTCTTAATCACAGAAAAAGGCTAAGACATTAACCTCGTTAATGCTGACAGCCTTTATTACTAAAAGTCCTCTTTTGGTGATTTTGTAGTTTAGCGTCCAATCAAACTGTTGCTGTTTGATAATGTTTATCTGTCCAGCTATGGTGGCTGTTACTGCTAATTAACACCTTGGATTATTGCTTATTCAAAAGCAAATTTAGCCTTTAAAACATTTACAGCTCTAAAACAAACCTCAGTGTTTGTTAACAAATACGTCTGCTTCCCTTTTTACGTCTTGTTCAAATAAAGGACTTTAGGCATGCATCCTCTGTTCATGCTTGTGTACACACACCTCTGTCGTGACACTCATGCTGCCAGAAATGTCCACGCAAAACACCACCAGTGTGTCTTCCAGGTTCTGGTAGTCATCGTCGCTTGACTGGACAGGTAGATGTCATCACTGTGCACACCTGCGCGCTGACCGACACACGCTTTCTCACTGTTGGTTACGTTGTTGGCACGTCCACAGAACTCACACACCCAAACCTAAATGAGAGGAAAGGAAGGGCATACTTGATTTTAACGGATAATCCAAAGCACTAGATTACTGCAAAGATAAATGAGCACTTACATTCCTCTGAATAGAACTCAGACATGATAAGGCAGCACTACATTTTCCACAAATCACTGGGCTCTGGAAACACTCCAGGCCTGAGGCTGTTAAACACCAGAGAAAAATAGTTTAAAAACAACAACAACAATGAAACAGGTGTGTCTTTATGTGTGTCTATGTGAACCTTGGCTGATGTCGACCATTTTTCCAATGCTGAGAGAGATGACGTTGACGTTGGCCGTCAGCTTGCTCTCTCCTTCCTGCTTGTCGCCTGGCATTCATGACAAAGAAATTACAACATAAAATACTTCCTTGAAACGATCATGTGTGGGTGAATAGGAGAATGCAAAGCTCACCTCTGGGTGGGACAGGAGGAGGAGGAGGGAGGGAGGGAGGACCAGGTGAAGGATGAAAGGAGGGGAGAGGGGGGAGGGGCAGAGATGTAGGACGAGGTTTTCTGAGGCGACGAGGAGGCAGCGGAGGAGGAACTGGACAAAAAAAAAAAAAAAAAGAAATATCAATAGAATAACATGATTTTTCCAGGTTTTGACCTTTTGCTCATCCCATCACATTTTAACCACATACATACTCTCTGACATCAGATTTGTAAACTGATTAAAAAATGATTGATTTGTATCATTTCATCTCTAACGTGCTCGAGATAGCCACGATATGGGACAGTCGTCTGTGCCCTACTGCCTTTACTGAGAAACACAAACAGACACACACGTGCTAAGGTACGTCTATAAATAGGCTACATCTTTTGATGTGCAATCTTTTCCGTTTAATATAAATCATGCACGTGTTGTTGTTTCAAAAGCTTGTCAGAAGTTCAAATATCAGTCAGAAGCACCTTTTTTCAATTGTTTCATAACATCATTGACAAAAGCTTCCTCTACACACTACTCATGTCTTGTACAAACTGGTTAACGAGGATGAGAAACTAAATAAAACTGATAAAACGGTGATGAAGAAGGAACGAGACAAAATGAAAGAGAGGCGAGGTAAACAGAGAGAAGAGGTACAGGGAGCGGGGGGAGGGGGAGGGGGAGGGGTTAAAACATGAATTAACTCCTAAAAACTTGAAGAACAGAGTAAAATGAAAATGTGGACGTGAGATATGGGCAGCTAGTGAAGGGTTATGCAGTAAATCCACCTGTAATACATTACTTCACATACCATCCATATATGTGACTCTTTGCAATAACTTCAGAAAGCCTGTAATTAATTATATTAACTTCTTTAATCGATTGACAGAATCGATTTTTTCTCAGGACAATTTTTCTCCAAAAATGAAGAAGATTTCTAACCATGAAAATTATAAAATAAATCACTAATTTAAAACCTTTTAAAAATTGATAACACACGTTTTAGAGAAATTTACTTATTTATTTGACTGACGTTAAGCAAAGCTTTTTAGTAGTGATTAAAAAGATGTGAGGCTCGCCCCCTCACTACCCCCCCCACCCACACACACACACACACACACACACACACACACACACACCCAGACCAATGTTACCGCTTAATATGTTTTCCTGTTATTTCGCTGCAATACTCTTGAGAATTTGAGGAACAGCTGAGACAGAAAAACAACAGTGTAGTTACATTACACTTTATGAAACCTTTATATTATACATAGGAAGTGGCTGAGTATCACTTTTTTTTGGTGTTGGTCCAGAGGGACTGGGCTTTTCTTAGGTTCAAGTAAAGGGGGACTCCAAGGGAAAAAACGTTGGGGAACCACTGGACTGTACAAAGTATATTGTCATAGAAATGCAAAGCTTAGAACTTGATCTTTGCACTCACCTTCTCCATCAGGCCTCCAATGACACACTACATGACTGCAGGCAAACTCCATCTGAAACAACACAAAGAACCAAAGAACTTAAATAAACAAAAAATACTTTCAGAAACGTCTGTTTGAACCTGACATGGAGTCAAACCAGCTTAAAGTAAAAAAAAAACAATCAATAAACAGAAAAGGGAGACAAGTGTGAGAAAGGATGCAGAAAACAGATGCTTCAGCAGTATGACAATGACGGGTTAGCTTCTCGGGAATTGTGTGTACATTGTCACCAGGGTAACAGGAGGCTTGTTATTTTTCTAGTTAGCAGGTGGGTGAGTAAAAGCATGAACGCAGTCATTTCCTGTGTGAACAACTGTCAGGGAAAAGACAAAAACACGGTCAAACGTGGTTTACTGTGGGTAAATCAGAACATTACAGAGAAGATGTAGTGAATATATATCACTATGATTAACAAAGTTTTATGTCTTTGACAAGCTGAGATCAGCCGCTGCTCGTCTCTGCCACGTCGACTGTTTATTCCACTTATTGGCCTACTGTTCCTCTCGTCACATTCAACCTCATTCTCTACCTGTTCGTTCTCAAATTTCTAATGTAGCACCACGGTTCCTAGAGGAAGAACATTTAATCTCACTGTCTACTTGTATACGGGTCAAGTGACAAATTAAACCTGACTTTGGCTTTATGCTAAGCTAAGCTAACCATGCCGCAGCTGTGGCTTCATAAGTTCAAGTTCAAGTTATCTTTATTAGTCAAATGCACAACATAACAGGCAAAGCAGTCATAGCTGGCAATGATTTTTTTTGTTCCAAGCTCTCCTTAACAATGCAAAAAATAAAAAAAATAAAAATAAAAATTGAATAAAAAAAATTATAAAATTTAAAAAAATTAAAATTAAAAAATTAAATAAAACTAAAAACTCAACAATAAAATTTAAATTAAATTAAATTGAATTTAAATGTAAAAATAATAATAAAAAATAATAATAATAAAAAATAAAAAAATAAAAAAATAAAAAAATAAATGTTTACACACAGTAGTGGTATTGATATTCTCGTCTAATTGTCCTGGCGGGAAGGCAGCAGACATTGTTGCTGTCATGTGCAAACTTTACATTTGAATTATTCTGTTTCACTTCAGCGTGTAAAGCATAACTTCTTTAAATGATTTAGCATTTTCTAGTTTTTTGGAAGGCATCTCGTGAGCCACTTTGTGAACCACTGGCTTGACGGGAACATATTTCAAAAAATGCTAAAGTTCTTTGCTTAAAATAGACTTTTGCTTTTTCAAAGATACGACACACGCTATCTGTTTTTGATTTCGTGCCAACAGTCTGATTTATATCAGATATAATTCACTTACTGCCACATGGTGAATGTACTCTGAACTTTGGCACACTGCTCCATGTTTATTAGTTCTCTTACCAACCTGTTGTGTGCTGCATCAATCAGGTTTTGCAGATATTCTTCCTCCCATGACACACACACTGTTTTTATGAAACACTCTCACTCTTCATACCACACTGCCACTGTTGGGATTTCAAAGTGTATCCCTTTAAACACAAACACACACATTTAAAAACAAGAAAGGAATTACCTTCTCCGTGCTCTCTGTGTACAGCTGTGCAGCTAAAACTGAAAGTAAGTGTTCGTACCGCAGCGGGTTGCTCATCTGTGAATGTGTAGGCGTGTTCAAAGTCTGAAAAATACAAAGTGTCAGGAAGTTGTTGAAGGGTTTATCAGATATGAAGAGCAAGAGAAATGAAAGTTAAAGGAAGAAAAGAAAGTGTGTCTTCAGCTGTTTTAATCATTAACAAAGATAGATAACATAATAAAGAAACACATGTCTTAGTGTATTTAGAAAACAGAGATAATCTGACTACTGTAAAGCTTCATGCATTCATTTTACTCTATATCACACTTATGGTAAAGCACCTGATTTAAACACTGTAAAAAACCCAGTCACAAATATCTCATTACAATTAAAGTAGCAATCAGTGAGATATCTACTGACTGAAACGATAAAGGTATCTTACTATCTGATCAGACATTAAGGAAACATGTTGAAGTGCTGACTTCTCTGACAACAATGCAGCAGCCAGTATGTCCTCCTTCTAACTTTAGATTCTGCTCCTGAATGCTCTGGATTTGTTTGGACCAGAGAAGGTAGGCGCTTTTAAGACACCCCCCCCACACCTGTTTTGGACGCCCCTCGGTTTGTCAGATATGAGAGCAGTTATCAGGTCAAACCAACAGGAAGCGAACCAGAAGTGGTTCAGATAGAAGTGATTGTACCCGACCTAAAAAGCCTCTGCATGTTTCTAATAAGCTCCACGGCAGAAACGTGCTCAAACTAGGATCAATATTGGAGATGCTTTTGAAAAATGGAGAGAGGTTAGAACACAGGTTTACAGACCCATGCAGAGCTGGATAAACACTGAAGCTTCAGAGTCCACCACATGGTGACCTGAGTGAGCATCCACTCTAGAGAGGGGGGGGGGGGGGAGTCAGCTCTCTATGATGTTTAGAATTTGGACTGCAGTACCAATTTTAACCACTAGGTGACAGTTATATAGTGTTCCTTTAAAATAAGCCACTTGCACCTGACAAGCCCTGATAAACATCTTCTTTGAAGATATAAAAAGCAGAAACAAGGCCTATATTTTGGCTTGTAATAAGTCAAAATATCTGCCAATGCAACAAGAAAATTATACTTGTTGAGTGTCTTAAAATAAGACTATTTAGATATCGAGATCTCATTTACAATACACTCAAGTTCAACTTTCTTGCTGCATTGGCAGATATTTTCAGGCCTTTTTATTTTCATTTGGACTTGCCTGTTGAATGCGACATGTAAAACATTTCCATGAGAGATTATTTACAAGAAATGAATCGTGCATCTGCAGGCAGGGTGACCACAATGTAGCCGGCTCGCCCCCGCTCTCGCTGTGAGGTCACGGGTCAACTCTGCCCCCACAAGAGTATTTTTAGAAAACACAGAAAAACATTAAGATTTGTATTTGGACTTTTTTGTTGAATGTGGCTTTTATTGAGTGTAATGAGATATCGATAACTACAAATGAGACACAAACATCTGCTAAGATTGTAGTTCTTGCAGCCTTAAAGTGACAGTGTCGCACAAAAGCCGCCACAAAGTATTCTTAACTGGTTATGAAACGGGCTAAATTTAATACTGATGAGACGAGGCGACCAACAAAACCAAACCAGAGCTACAACTAGAAGACTGACTTTTTCAGTTTTAACCCTTTACTGTTTCAGTTCTCTCGACTCTTGGGAGTACTACTTTAACTTGAAACGTCACTTGAAAGACGCAAGTTAAAACCAAACATCTGCTCCTGATGTTAAATGTAAAGATCTTCACGCTACAAAATATGAGTTCAGTCTATTTTCCATTTGAAACATGTTTGAAATGAGTGTCCAAAATCATAACTTGTGACAGTCTAGTTTGAAGGATCTACAAAAGTGTCTTAATAAACATGAAGTGCAAAAATGATCTTTTATTGTGTTACTACTTACAAGGAATGTTATGTTCACGATTAAACAACATTGTCAATCATTATTCTTTAAATGAATAAGTTATTTAGTCTTGCAACACTTTAATTGTCTTCACAATATTTCACTGGTTTGACCACTTACTCTATCCACTATATTTATTTCATCACTGCTAACAGTTTTCCAAAATGTAATTTACCGTAAGATTCGGTGTACATGTCACACTTTTAACACCTTGTTCTTCATCTCAAAAGTGGGCTGTGTCCTTTATACCAGTGCGACCGATAAACCAGTATGAAATGCTGAGACCTGAGCTCAGCAAGTACAGCCACCACCAACAAAAAATGAAGGAAGACAGTTAAAACCTTTTTCACTTCTGGATGGAGATGTCTTTTATACTGATGCAATTTATATTCTGGATTTTACGGTGAGTTTTAAAACAATCGTTCTGCTCTTGTGCTTTATAATAAGTTTGAAAATGATCTTGCTAAATCTTGAAGTATTTTGTAAAATCAGTCTAAAATCTGAGCCATAATGGTGTTGTGACAGAGTTTGATGACTGTAATATTCAGATACTGTTTGTTGCACTATTTCTATCCCTTCAGTGACTCCAGCACTGCTTTCAAGATGGCGGCGACAGCCACAGCGCCGGGGTCGGGCAGGGTGACCCGCTCAGCAGCGATGTAGCTGGCTCGCCCCGCCCTCGCTGTCAGGTCACGGGTGGACTCTGCCCCTGAGGACGCTTTCTAAAAGAAAAGAGGGGAAAAGAAAATTCAAATTCAAATCAGGAATGGAGCAAACAACAAGCGGTGACAAGTCGTAAAAAGAAAATTATATTAACGTACTTCCACCGCATTCTGTAGTACAGCCATCTCGCCACCAGGGGGAGCTTTGGTCAGCTTCATCAGCTCGTCCACAGCAGGACACAAAGCGTCCAACTAGACAGAAAACAGAAAACATTAATCAGGATGTACTTTTAAAAAGCAGAGGCGATAAATTAAAAGTCAGCAGAAAATGTTCTCACCATTGTTCTGTCTCCAGCGTCGGCTCCTCCGTATCTGAAACACAGATCACATCAAAGATTCGATTCATATCAACCCACGTAACCAGATCTGCTTCTCTTTGACCTTTGAGGTGTTTGTCAGCTTCCTGTTGTTGCTGCTTGTATTGAGCTTGTTTCTAGACCTGCAGTTCTGTCTGTTCAGCCTGCGTCTTTGTGAACTGGTTGGTAGAAGTGACAGACAGAACCCGTGTTTGTTACAATAAAGGAACTTTGAAGTGGTTTCCTGCAATTTAACTACGACTATTTCTTCTGTTATGTGGTTAGTAACTGAGCTTAGAAGACCTTTTATTTTCTAGCTAGTGTGTTCTGGTTTTATTATTTTCACCTTGGAGACCCTTTATTTTGAAATTTGAGTAATCTTATTTTGTTTATTATATTCTTTTAGAAACTAAATATTATTCACAGTTACCACAATGAGGTGTTGCCTCCTGCAATGTCTTGGTTATGTATTTATTGACTTATTTATTGCTGTTGTCCTGAAACCGAGCTTTTCATCTTGGCCCTCGTGGGTGTCATTGCCCAAAGAGACCACAAGAGGGTGTCAGCGTGCCGGCGATCGTCTTTGTCAAGTACTGATTTGTTTGGTGTCTCTGATAACTCTATCTGTTGTTTGTTTGTAAATGTTTGCATGGTCCGGGTGGACTGTGGAACCGAATTGCCCTCTGGGATAAATAACATCTTCTAAGTCTACGTCTAAATTACTCTCTTTGTTCTCCTAGAGATGCAAAAACTTGTAACAGAATGTTTAAATAAATTAATTTTCCAGTTTTTCAAAAAAAGGTATTTATAAAAAAATACAGATGGACACACAGCAACGCACCTCCTCATGGCCTGTGTCCCAGCATGCATTGCATTAGCCCAGGCTGCGGCGTTGCTCCGCCCCTCGGTCACATGACCAGCTGCTGCAGTCAGGAACAGACTGTACAACTGAAAGACACATGGAGGTAAATGTGAGAGTTAATATTGTTTAAACTGTCAAATCACAGCTGATTTCAAAATACTGATGTGAAACATACCGCTCCTGAAGACCCGCCCATCTTCTCCTGCACCAGTCCAGCCAGGACAGATAACAGTTGTCCCGGGCAACCAGGGACCACATGATCCCGGAGCCACTCCTGAATGGCTGGCCAAAGCATTTTTCACAAATTCACACGTCTGATCAGAAAAAATGCTTCTTCATTCCTGTGCATGTTTTTCATGCTGCCCAGTGTCTCGTACCTTTAGCGGCTTGTGCGTGAGTGTTTCCACAGTCGCCGTCTCCAGCAGCTCGGTCCAGGGAGTTCAGCTCCTCCTGCTTTCCCAAGAGTGCGGAGCAAACCCGCTCCAGCACTTTACGCATCACAGGACTCAGCGGCCCTGCAAGAAGTAAAAACATACTTTTAATATGAATTGTATAAGTCATTAATAAGTATAACCTGACATTTCCCTCATGAAAAGAAAACGTAATTGTAAAAATAACAACTAATTTAGCTGCAGTTCCTTTGTTGGCCACAGGATGGCGGTAACTTTAAACAAATTCATAAAATTGGACATTTATTTATTTAAATCCTGACTAATGACCTTATGTCGCTGAACCACTAACAAGTTGTGCCACACAAATTCTCCATATAACCCAAAGAATTACAAATATGACTAAGTAAGCCTGGAAACTAACCTTCAGAATAAGTGCCGTCCTGTGGTCGTGTGCTCATGGCTTGAGATTCAATCATGTAGCTGCGTCCGCTAACACTCACACTGCTCAGGTTCGGCCAGGCCGAGGCGGCGGTCTTAGCATCTATTCAGGGCAGAGGATGTTAGAAATGTGTGTGTGTTTGTTCCTGCTTTTCTATCTTTGTGAGGACAGGTGTTTTAAGCATTGTAAGGCAAGTGAGGACACTTTTTGTTCTCAATTTTCAAAAAGCTGTGAAGCACCATGCCTTTGATTTTAGTTCTAAATTAGTTTTAGATTTGTCTTTTAAAGGAAAAGTTCAACATTTTGTGAAGTATTTTTAAACATAGGCCTAGCGTGTACCTTTATCTAAAGCGACAGATTTTTTTTATAGTTTTGCTCACCAAACAATCTCAGTGTTTCCAGATTGGCCTTCATCAGTGTCAGTGACACACCCGCCATCTCCAGTGATGTCATGAACGACCCTGACATCACCCTGGCAACAACTACACCACGACTCTCTGAAAACCAAAGAAAATCTTCATTAGAGGCCCGATATTTAAAGGAGATTTGGATTCACTGAATAGACCTTGATGAAGAAAACACCAACGGGTACCAGATTACCCAGACAGATGATGGTCGCCCTGGTAACCACGGCCATCTCCAGACAAGACAGAGCTCCGAGGTTGTTCACGCACACCACAACACTGTCTCCTGTAAGCGAGACGAAAGACCGAGTTTGAAAACAAAATATTTGCGTTAAACTCAATAAATGTTATAAATGGAGACATGATACTTTATACTTAGAGGAACCTGAGTTAACGGACAGATGTGATTGGCTGTCAGGGTTGGTAATGTGGTCTATCATCGTCTTTACGATCTCATCTGCTGAAGCCACCTGATGAATATTAGAAATCAACATTAAAAACACACGAGGAGTAAAAAGAGTCATTTAAAGGAAGAATGTGCGACTTTTTGATCCAGTAGATGTCGCCCCTGAGCTCCAGCGTGAAACCAAAACAAACTGCTGTTTGGCCACGCCCCCTCCATACTGAAGCCTCCGCTCTCCTGCAGAGACACACCTCCAACCCCCTCTCCACTAGCGTTCACACGAAGGAGTTATCAATAAGAACGCACCATGATTAAGCACAAATGGCGGACAAAATCATCCTTTGCTCGAGCTGCATTGTTGTGTTAGCATGCTAATGTTAGCGCTCTTTAGTTAGCACGTAGCTTCACATTGCTGTGTTAGCATGCTAATGTTAGCGCTCTTTAGTTAGCTCGTAGCTTCACATTGTTGTGTTAGCATGCTAATGTTAGCGCTCTTTAGTTAGCTCGTAGCTTCACATTTCATGTAAACTGACACAGAATGAGCGTGATCTAAAAACTCTTACTAACATCCAAATAATCAGTGAGTATGTTCTTCTTCTTCTCTCTAGTTCTGGACTAAAACAGCTTTTATACACAAGGGGAGGAGCCGGCCGTCCCGTCCATGTAAACACGGCTCTGACAACAACACAGCCAGCGGGACTCGAGCTTCTCCCTCATTGTAGACAGTCAAGACTCAGAGACACATTTACACAGGATACACTGGATTTCTGCTGTATTTATATTGTGTTAAACGTCGCACATTCTTCGTTTAAATAGTAGCTATAGGCCGGTAATGGCTTGAATCTGAATCACCTGTGATCTTTTGATCCCGGGTTCACCATGGATTCCTAAAGAAGATAAAAAATGACCTGTAAAACAAAACACTTAGAAATGCCACAATTCCCTCCTACTGTTCGTCTATTCTAGGGCAAATGTCCCTCCATCTTGCTTAAATATTATTTGATAAAAGACGGTTTGTCACTATTTGGGTTTTCATATATAGCCGGAAAAGTGCCATACCTTCCTCCTGATCTTTAATTTAAAAAAAGAGGTCTACATCACATTTAAACCTAATCTTTGTAAATAACAGAAGTTTCACACCTACACTTCCTCAGTCTGTCCTGACTTGCTGTCTCTCTCTCTCTCTACTTTTATTGTACAATTACACCGTTACTTTTTCTTCCACGTCTTCATCATTCCTCACCCAGTCCGAGCTCCATCTCTCCGGGCGGCAGCTCGAAAGAAGGCAGGCAGCCCGGGACGCTGCAGGGAGACAGACTCACGCCCAGTGTACCTGCGATCAACACACCAACACACTGTTTTAAGAAAAGTATAGCAGCATCTTTAACAAACTTTAAGTGAGTAGAAAAAAAACGAGAATGACTCACCAATCCCCTTCAAAACCTCCGTCACCTTGGAAACGACCTGCTTCTGCTAAGGCCCCCGCGAGCTGGCAGAAGGTGGGAACAGGTTTTTCTTACATACAATCAAAACACACACATGATGGGGAGTGTAAGGATCTGTGTTGCTCTTTACTTTGTGTATGAAGATGGTGCCACACAGGCCCCGCCTCCCGGCTTTACTGGGCTGGTTGAAGGCGCAGTCGTCTGCGACTATCACCATGTCGACGTTGACGCCGTGGTTGCGGGCCTGCTCCGCGGCCAATCCAAAGTTGAGGCGATCGCCGGTGTAGTTCTTCACAATGAGGAGGACACCCGAGGCTCCTGTAGTATTTTTATATCTTTCATTTCTTATAAATTCTAATTATAGTTTAACTTATTGCATTTTTTCCCGTTCAAGCAGGTTTTTTTTGCAATTAAATTGAATTTGCACGACATGGAATCCTGATTTTCTTTAATAAATACATATGTAAAAGAAGGAAACATTAATTATGATAAAACCCTGAGTGTTCACTACCTGCATTGTGCAAGGAGAGAATAGCAGCCAGGATGCTAGCAGGGGGAGGAGATGCAAAAACTCCACCTGCTACAGCTGCAGACAGCATTCCTGCTCCTACATAACCTGGAAACACACAGAAACATGTTAGATCTAATCTCATCTTTTCCACATTATAAAAGCATGTAAGTCTCACCCCCGTGTGCCGGCTCGTGTCCTGACCCCCCTCCGGACAGCAGGGCCACTTTGCCCCTCAGGTTGTCCAGGTCAGAGCGGAGCACGACCCTGTGGCCCTTCAGCAGAGAGAGGCCCCCGCTGGCCCTCACCAGGCCGACGAGAGCCTCGTCCACACAGCCGTCTGCAGAGTTTATCAACTTCTTTTTGGGCTTGAGGGAGTGAAATAAAGAGTAAAACCCACACAATAGTTATGAAGCTCACAAAATGTAGGTGACAGTCAGAGGCTCTGCTTGTCAACAGGCAAACTGCTTGGGGCCCCTTTAATCTGCAACACACACAACATTAAACTACATTCGTGCAGCCCTTCCTCCCTCATGTTATCTTACAATGGACTCTGATCCTCTAGAGGAGAAAGTGTGCAAAGCCATGCAGAGAAAACACTTCTTTCAGCCTGCATGTCAGCACACAAACACAACCAGAGGGACTCCCTCCTCTGAGCATCTACTCAATCAGGTCTGATTAAATCTGGAGAATCGAAGTTTACCTCCATTTGGACTTTCTCTTTGCTCTTTTCACTTCCGACAGCAGGTTGAAGCAGGATTTTAAAAAGCTGCATTTCGCAGGATAAAAGCTAGTTGTGATGCGATTAGGCCTTCAAAATAAAAGCTTTTTATTTATTTTTATTTTATGTAAATGCAACAGCCAAATCAGCCGTCTAAGATAGTCACAAAAACAATAACATGATTTATTTGTATTACTTAAAAATGTAACAAAACTAGACCTTAAATATATCATAATAAGTTAGATGTTTTTATATTTTGAAATATTGAGAGGAAGTCTTGTGAGGTATTTCAGAGTAACAAACGGAAGCTTGATTCACTCCATAAAGGACAGTCACGCCCACTTTTTGTTTCCGGTTAATCGATTAATTTGACCTGGATTTGGATAATTAATTAGATGAGAGGTCAATGACACAGTTTGTTTGTGACTGGCTGTTTATGTTCCACACTTTGACCTTTACAATGTTGTTTATTGAGAATAAGTACTTACTATTTCTCTTTATTAAGAAAATAATAAGACAAAACATTTTTTTTTATGACCAACATTTTTATTGTTTTCAATTTTTTTACAACAGTACAATACCAGACAACAAATGATATAGAACCATATCCAACAAGGGTAACACTATCAATGCAAGACAAAAAAAACAAAAAACAGACCTGACAAACAAAAATTATAATTAAGATAAATTAAATACAGGAATAAAGCAGACGAATAAAATATATGTAAATAAAAAAAACATTAAAAAAAAATAAATTCATGACAAAACATTTTTTATAAAGAAAAATCACCTTAGAGTATGTGGGATGAAATAAAATATAGTTTTCATATTTATTTTGTGATTTTTAGTGCACTTCGAGATTAAGGTTGAAATGTCAAGAAATAAATAGAAATGTCGACAACAAAGTTATAATGCAGAGGAAAAAAGTTAAAATTTTGAGAAAAAAAGTAGAAATGTCAACAATAAAATTGAAATGTAGAGAGAAAAAATAGAAACGTCCAGAAAAAAAATCAAAATTGTTGAGAACAGAAATTGAAATGTTCAGAATAAAACGTTGAAATGTCAGGGGCGTGCTGGTGGTGCAGTGGTTAGGGCGCGCGCCCCATGTATTGAGGCTGTTGTCTCGAGCGGGCCCGGGTTCACTCCCACCCGTGGCCTCTTTCCGCATGTCGTTCCCCACTCTCTCTCCCTGATTTTCGACTCTATCCACTGTCCTATCTCTGCATTAAAGACACAAAAGCCCAAAAATAAATCTTAAAAAAACAAAAAACATTGAAATGTCAACAATAAAGTTCAAATGTAGAGAGAAAAAATAGAAACGTCCAGAAAATAATTGTTGAGAGTAGAAATTGAAATGTTCAGAAAAAAAGCAGAAATGTCGACAACAAAATTTAAATGTAATGAGAAAAAATAGAAACATCCAGAAAAAAATCTAAATTGTTGAGAATAGAAATTGAAATGTTCAGAAAAACAAAAGTTTAAATGTCGACAATAAAATTGGAATACAATCTCCAGAATACAGACAAAATTTATTCTCAACATTTAAAGTTTTTCCTCAACTTTCTGACTTTATTCTCTAAATTCTATTTACATTTTATTCTCTTAATTGTATTTGCATTTTATTCTCTTAATTGTATTTACATTTTATTCTCTAAATTGTATTTACATTTTATTCTCTTAATTGTATTTACATTTTATTTTCTAAAATTGTATTTACATTTTATTCTCTTAATTGTATTTAAATTTGATTCTCTTAATTGTATTTAAATGTTATGCTCTTAATTGTATTTACATTTTATTCTCTTAATTGTGTTTACATTTTATTCTCTTAATTGTGTTTACATTTTATTCTCTTAATTGTATTTACATTTTATTCTCTAAATTGTATTTACATTTTATTCTCATAATTGTATTTACATTTTATTCTCTTAATTGTATTTACATTTTATTTTCTAAAATTTTATTTACATTTTATTCTCTTAATTGTATTTAAATTTTATTCTCTTAATTGTATTTAAATTTGATTCTCTTAATTGTATTTAAATGTTATGCTCTTAATTGTATTTACATTTTATTCTCTTAATTGTGTTTACATTTTATTCTCTTAATTGTGTTTACATTTTATTCTCTTAATTGTATTTACATTTTATTCTCTAAATTGTATTTACATTTTATTCTCATAATTGTATTTACATTTTATTCTCTTAATTGTATTTACATTTTATTTTCTAAAATTTTATTTACATTTTATTCTCTTAATTGTATTTAAATGTTATTCTCTTAATTGTATTTAAATGTTATGCTCTTAATTGTATTTACATTTTATTCTCTTAATTGTGTTTACATTTTATTCTCTTAATTGCATTTAAATTGTATTCTCTTAATTGTATTTACATTTTATTCTCTTAATTGTGTTTAAATTTTATTCTCTTAATTGTGTTTACATTTTATTCTCTGAATTGTGTTTACATTTTATTCTTAATTGCATTTAAATTTTATTCTCTTAATTGTATTTACATTTTATTCTCTTAATTGCATTTCAATTTTATTCTCTTAATTGTATTTAAATTGTATTCTCTTAATTGCATTTAAATTGTATTCTCTTAATTGTATTTACATTTTATTCTCTTAATTGTATTTACATTTTATTCTCTTAATTTTGTTTACATTTTATTCTCTTAATTGTGTTTACATTTTATTCTCTTAATTGTGTTTACATTTTATTCTCTTAATTGTGTTTACATTTTATTCTCTTAATTGTATTTTTTCTCGTCTCCTGTCATTGTTTATTATTTATTTCTCACGTTGGTGTCCCTCTGAAACGCGGCGAGACTCCGCCCCACTCGGGCTGTCCCGTAGGAACATCAAACGAACCCCTGCGTGGTTCCTCCTGAGTGACGCACGGAGCCTCGGAGAGTCCGCTCGGGGATCAGCTCGGGACCGTCCGGAGCAACATGCAGGATGGCGACGAGCGTGGAGACAGCCGCCGAACACGAGCGAATCCTGCGGGAGATCGAGAGCACAGACACCAACTGTATCGGCCCGACCCTCCGGTGAGTGACTCCCCCCCCCCCCCCCCCTCTGGTCGCTGTTACCCCCCCTTCCCCCCGGGGAAACAGCTGCACCTCTCGGCGTCTCCCAGCTGAGAGGGACCGCTGCTAGCTTAAACTAAGTTAGCGACTAGCAGCGGGGGCTCAAAACTTTAACGGTGATGAATCCATTATCGGACAGCTGGTGAGCTAACTGTAGGAAACACGAACTAATTATCACAACACACACCTGTGAACACACACTATCACACCTGTGAACACACACTAGCACACCTGTGAACACTCGGTGAACCCTGAATGTCTCAGATAACTCGATGTTTTTACTTTAAAACGTTTCCCTGAAGGTTTCTCAAATTAGCAACTTGCGCTAATATTAGCCGAGTTAGCCAATGGTGCGTTTAGGTGCTCCGCGAATGCTCGGATTCCTCAGTTTCAAATGTAGTTTTTGCGACTTAGCTTAGTGTACGAGCCATAACAAGTGTGTTTTATATTTTGCTTTTCAGAGTAACGCTACGGTAATAAACGTGGACGGCGATGAGTTGTTACAACCGTATAGCATGCTGAAATGTACAAGTTAACATAAAAGTGAATGTAACAACACGGTAAATGACAAATAAATAAACCATTTTTTGTTATAAACCATTACGCCAGTGTTTGTTTTGATCGTGTGTTGGCTTATAGATATTTTCCACAGCTTTTCTAGGGTTGTTTATGCCTCTTGAGAGCGCCTTGACGAACTCGCCAAGTGCAGAAGCTCAAGTTTCCGATTATACCGACAGCGCTTGAATGCATGCTAACTTCTTGTCATTCTGCTCACTGGTGTTAAAGCTTCCACTGGGAGCTGAGGCTTCTTTCTGGAAGCTAATAAAAGACATTTCTGTTTTTAATCCGGCCTCTCTGTTTATCTCACATGTTTGTCTCACTCATCCGGACATGTTTTATAGTTTTTAAATAAGGTTTATAAGAGAGTCTGCTAGGTGTCAGCAACAGTCGAGATGTTTATCAAGGAGTGTCAAGTGCAGCAGCTGTGTGTGTGTGTGTGTGTGTGTGTGTGTGTACACAATGAATGAGACCTACAGCTGTGTGATTACACCCCACACACTCACACACACACACACTCACACACACACACACTCTCACACACACACTGCTCCATGTTTGTCATGAATGTTTATGTTCATGATATCTGGGTGGATACTGAATGACTTTTCTGTTCTTGTTTTCGTGCACAGCGTTTGTTCAGCTGTGTTTGGACCTGACCTGGCTCACTAGCAGCTCTGTTTCACTTTAATATTAGCTGTCACACATTCGGCGACACACACACACTCCACCACTGAAGACAGAAGTCCATCCTCTTGGCTTTTTGCTGCTCCGCTTCTCATGAATGTGACACCGATGTGTCGGCCGATATCTTTCTTACCTCTGTGTTTCCATCTGTTGACACAGATAGAGACACACATCCGTTGGGTGTGCAGTTATCAAACACTTGAGAAGATGTGTCATTATGTCGTAGTAATCTGTGTAGCGCCCTCTGCTGGTGACAGAGAACTGCTCGTGTTATTCTATAATACTCAAATAAAAATGCTTTTTCACTGGATATTAAATCTGGTAACGTCGGCGCCTGTTATCAAGCACAGAGGTGTGTGTGTGTGTGTGTGTGTGTGTGTGTGTGTGTGTGTGTGTGTGTGTGTGTGTGTGTGTGTGTGTGTGTGTGTGTGTGTGTGTGTTGTGTGTGTGTGTGTGTGTGTGTGTGTGTGTGTGTGTGTGTGTGTGTGTGTGTGTGTGTGTGCGCGCGCGCGAGAGAGTGCGTGTGTGTTTGTGTGAGAGTGAGTGAGTGACTTGACAACTTTTGCGTGACACCTCCGGGTGCCAAATTCCCCCCTCTGCAGGGACGGGGGCGAGCGACGAGGGCGAGCGACGCAGCCCGGGACACGCTCAGCTCCGCTCCACTTCCTGGATGACTAAAAGTCTCCAGTAACGTCCCAGTGTTTCCATTTTCAACCAC